GGCGTCATTTCTGCTCTCTCTACTATACATACACAACATTCCTAACAATCATAAGTGAAAAAATAACTTTTTCTTAAAAAAAAATAATATAAAAAATAATAACAAAATAATTACAAAAAAACATATTTTCAATAAATTTATCTTTTATTGTTATTGTTATTATTATTATTAACAACTTTCCCAAAGCAATTTCTATAAACACGTAATATCTAAGCGATAATAAATTGATATGTGTACCAAATATAAATAAACGTGTATATATATATACACACACATACATACATATATACATACATACATGTATAAATACGCATACACACACGCATAAATACACGTACATACAACAAACATCTCGTAAAAATAAACCTCTAACTCAGCATAACGACCTCCAATTCAATAACATCAACAAAACTTCTCGAACCACGATTTGAACTTTTAACACCACGACAGTATGACCTTATTGACCCAACGATAACCTGGCCTAATTAGCCGTACGACAACTTGACCCAATTAGAAATCCACACCCCCCCCCAACAACCACAACAACAAAAAAACACAAGCCAACCATTTTCGTGATATCCTCAATTTTCTGCTTCACGTCTGCGTTCCTCTCCATCTTTTCCAAAGTTTTTTTGAGGGCTCCAAGCAGCAGGGCATAGCGGGTGATTCTCTGAAAGGGCTTGCTAATGAGATCGTTCAAGGTTAGCCTGCTACACTGGGGCTGGCTTTCGGCCCACTGTGTGTGCGTGCGCGCGTGTGTGTGCGTGTATGTGTGCGTGTATGTGTGTGCGTGTATAAATGTATTTTAAATTGCATTTACATAATTTATATGGCGCGTAATTGTGGTTCTGACGAGTTTATTCAATGATGATTGCTCTGCAACGTTAATGATGGACAACAATGACCAAATTAAATAAAATCACGTAGAATTAAAATGACCGGATGACAGTGCAAGAATGATGATTATGATGATGATAATGATCTTTTTAATGACATTTATAAAAACAAACAAACGAACAAACAAATGAACGAACGAACAAACAAAGATACGCCGACATACCGTAATGAAAGTACGAAATAGCTCGTTCTCTTTCATTTTTGTCTTCAAATAGTCCCTACATTTCTCTTGATCCAAGCAATACTCGATGTACGGTTTGAAGATGGTGTCAAACTAATAATAATAATAATAAAAATAATATTAATAATAATAATAATAACAATAATAATAACAATAATAATAATAATAATTCACTAGTCGATGATCCTTATAGCAATAACAATAATTATTATTTGTGTACTTTCAATAAAAAGTACTAGGAGCATACTAAACAGTAGTAGTAGTAGAAGTTGTTATTGTTGTTGTAGTAGTAGTTGTAGTAGTAGCAGCAGTAGTAGTAGTAGTAGCAGCAGCAGCAATAGTAGTAGTAGTAGTAGTAGAAGCAGTAGTAGTAGTAACAGCAACTAAAGTAGCAGTAGTAGCAGCAGTAGTAGTCGCAAAAGTACAAATAGCATCGTTTTTAAGGAGGAATCTTGTTTTTTAACTTGATTATATATTGACAAATCATTTCATAGCTTTAAATGATCACTTATTTACACGGCTATGTAGTCACTAATTCTACTCGATTTCTTCTCTACTAATCCATAAATCTACTAGACTGCATATACAGAAGCACAGCGTAGAGAAGTTACATGTGAAAAGAACAAGTGTGTTAGAGTGAAAGAGTTGTACAAGAAGCATTTGTGCCTTCATTAAGAACTCTTTAAGTACACAGAAGAGCGTTTGTTGAAAATGCATGGAGAATGAAGGAAAGAAAAATATGAAAAAAAGAAAGAGAGAGAGAGAGGAGGAGGAGAGAGAGGAGGAGGAGAAAAAGCGTATGATTTATTATTATTATTATGGAAATGATGCTGACGACAAAACTGCCATCATTTATTCTCATTAGGTAGAGATGTCTCTGCTTAGAAGGGCATAACTTCAGTTGCGCCACGGTGGATATTAAATAATTAAGATGTCCCGTGTTAATGCTGGCTGGCTAGGCAAATGAGTGAGTGAGTGAGTGAGTGAGTGAGTGAGTGAGTGAGTGAGTGAGTGAGTGAGTGAGTGAGTGAGTGAGTGAGTGAGTGAGTGAGTGAGTGAGTGAGTGAGTGAGTGAGTGAGTGAGTGAGTGAGTGAGTGAGTATGTGTTAGGTAGGCAATCGGTAAAAAGATCAGTAAATTTTTTAAAGTGAAAAAAAATTGGATCAGAAAACATTTAAAAATGCGTTATCGTTCTTAACATACACATTAAACTAAAAAATGACATGAACGTTCATCACTCGGTCAATCAATAATAAATAATTCAATCAATCATTCAATCAATCATTCAACCAATCAATCATTCACCAAATCGATCAATCAATCATTCAATTGATAAATCAGTCAATCTTCTAGTTACAAGACTAAATTTAAACCATATCAACCGAAGCGCTAAATGCTGACAGAAGAAAAACAAAATATTCACACACGCTTTTCATATTAAACACAACATTTCCCACAAAACACATATCTCCCTCTCACACATACACACGTACATACACACACAAAGAGAGAAAGAGAGAAAGTGAGAGAGAGAGAGAGAGAGAGAGAGAGAGAGAAAGACTACATACAAACCTTGCATACCACAAACACACACACACACTACACACACTCGACACGACGCCAAAAACAACTAACGATTCCAAATCCGGATTTGAGTAGGCAGAAATTGAGTTGCTCCCGTTTTTGTCGACTATCCTTCAGCAGTTGGATCATGTGACAACTCCAGAAATGGTTCGTGGCGTTGAAGACCTCGTAAATGTTGCTGAAAACTTTGTCAATTTCAATCTGTCGGTCGAGTATTCGCTTCGTGTTTGAGCCGTGCGGTGTCGGATCGTGTGGGTGGTTGGTGTGGTTGGTGTGGTGTTGTGTGTCTTCTGCTACATCAATGTTAAAATCTACTTACAATGATGTTGCAGATGAAAATAACAAAATGTTATTATAAGTAGCTAGAATATTTCATAATCAGGTATGTCCACCAAAGTACTTACAAAAGCATCGAACCACACAGAAGCATTCGATTCGACGAGTACTTGCTACAGTATTTGATCCGACAAGTTCTACTTATGTACTTACGTAAGTAAGATTGCAGTGCTTATTAACTGGATTCAACGAACCAACAACTCTTGCCAGAGGCTATTAATTTTACTTATATAAGCTTCCTTTCAAATGTAACATCAGGTCAGTCAAGCAGTATTCTAGTACTAGAGTACTACATCTGCACTTAGTGTACATGTTGGTTTTTAATGTACTTTCTTTGTAATTGTACGTCTTTATGAGTTTCTTGTGTATGGTATTTACATTACATTTAGTGAGTTAGTTGGTTCGTGTTGTATCGCATTGCTGCAATCTAATTAATTCCCTCGTAACAAGCTTTTGTTTGCTGGTGACTATGTAGTCGCGTGTATGTGTGTGTACGTGCGTGTGTGTGTGTGCGTGTGCGGTGTGTGTGTGTGTGTGTGTGTGCGGCGTGAAAATAAGAATAAACCGAATTTAAGAAAGAATTAAAATTGAAATAAATTTTGATAAATTGTACTGAAGTAAATTTTACTCAAACTAAATTTAATTTAAATTAAGATAATGAACAAACCTCAGTGAGAAGTTGGTTGGACTGCAAGTGTATCAGACAGCTGTAAAAAAGCTGTACGTACAAGTTTCATGAATGAATAGATGAATGAAGGAATGAAAGAATGAATAAACGAATGAGTGAATGAATG